TATTAAAAAGCATGCCAACCCTGGTCGATGTGCACACTTTACAAGATAACTTGCTTGAATATATATTGATCAATATACAAACTTAGACGATAAGTTCAAAGTTGAGTGAAATCCATGCCTAATTAATTAGCATACTGTACTCTGATTGGTCAATGGTTTTATGCCAAGTAACTTTGTCAGATAAGGCAAGGGTTGATATCTTATTCAACAACAAAGGCAAAGTTCAAAGATGTTCACAATCTGTGCATAATCTATTTAATGGTTTAAAATAATCAGGTATTGGTCAAAGGGGTAAATGCCAGTTTCAGTTTTTAATGTTCTATGAAATACATTGTATGGACAAAGGGAAGCAATTCCTAATTCCTATGCAAATTAATTATCCAAAGGTTTAAAATGATATATTCTAGAGGAAACTTGGTACCATTCTTCTGACAAACCTATAAAGATATATTGTACACACAAGAAGAATAACTTCACAGTGGTACACTTTTACATAAAACCTTGATTCATAACAACTTAACAGTAAATCCTTCTGTACAATATGATGGGAACTTCGGCGTTATTTTGTTCTCCATTCCAAAAATAATATATATATCTTTTGCCTTAGCTTTCAGTACTTTCAGTACTTTGATTGCCATTTAAAATGGAAAAAAAAAATACTGCCATGTCGCATCTATTTTGAAAAAAATTGGCCTGAGAACCAAGTAATTAATTTTATTTGGCTTAACTTTTTATAAGATATTTCAAATGCAGAGAAGAAGTTTTAATATCAAGTAATCAAACCTTTTTTTCATTAATGTTATGAGCAGCAGACATCAACTGTTTTGATTTAAGTAAATAAATTAAAGTCTAAACACTTGCATAATGCAAAGTGCAACTTTAATTGAAAATGTTTCTAAAATTCTAAAAAAACAAAAAGATGTTCACTTTATGAGCCAATCCTTTGAATAACCAATTGAAATTCCTTATCTATGCAAAAAGAAAAGTGAATTTTATTTCTATAATTTGTGAACTGAAGAAGCATTCCCACAAATGTTTTTTCTCGCACACAGCATCCTGGATACACTGTGTCCAGATTTCTACAAGATCGTCAGGTGTGGAATTCTATGCAGGGAGTGATCTCCCCTGCCTGGCAATCGAGTAACAACACCAGTTCCTGTAATGATAATTCCAAACGGCGCAGGAATACACCCCCACCAACACCACAATCAGAAGGTATACCAATATATTCTATAGGTCTATCGAAATTAAAAAAAAACCAGCATGTATGGTCTATAAATATATGCAAATCAAAAATCGAAAGGTATGCCCCAATGTAAACTTAAACACCAGAAGTATGCCCACCAAAGGTATGCTTTATAAATCTCACCAAAAGATGTTTTTGCAAATATATCTTCAGCACAGAGACAAGATGCTGTTCAAGTGTGTTTTGGGGCTATTCAAGTACAATTGTATGTAATTATTATTAGGTCACCTGAGACAAAGGGGCCTGAGGGGCGGGGCTAAAAAGGGTCAAATTGACTAAAATTTCAAAAATCTTCTTCTCAAGACCCAGATATGGTAGAATCCAACACTCTTCATAGATGGAAGAGTCTTTAAGGTGCTCTACTAAAATTGTGAATTTCTTGACCCTGGGGTCTCACATTTACCCCTGGGGAGGGGGTAAACTACTATAGTTTATATAGGGAAATCACATTTTGGACCAACATTTGTTTAATTTCCATTGGAAGTAATTCAATTCAGGTTAGCATTATCAGTATTGGATAGCAGTTTGATGGGATTCACATATCAACACTGACTGACCCCCCTGGGGCTGATGGGTGGGGCCAAAAAGGGTCGAATTGACTGAAATTTTAAAAATCTCCTCTCAAGACCGAGATATAATAGAATCAAATACTCTTCATAGATGGAAGGGTCTTAAGGTGCTCTACCAAAATTGTGAATTTCTTGACCCTGGGGTCTCACGTTCCCCCCTGGGGAGGGGGTAAACTTTACTATAGTTTATATAGGGAAAACACATTTTGGACCAACATTTGTTAAATTTCCATTGGAAGTAATTCAATTCAGGTAAGCGTTATCAGTATTGGATAGCAGATTGATGGTATGCACAAATCAGCACTGACTGACCCCCCCCCCCCCCCCCCCCCCCCGGGCTGATGGGTGGGGCCAAAAAGGGTTGAATTGATAGAAATTTCAAAAATCTTCTTCTCAAGGCCAGGAATAATAGAATCAAATACTCTTCATAGATGGAAAGGTCTTAAGGTGCTTTTCCAAAATTGTGAATTTCATTACCCTGGGGTCTCACTTTTCCCCCTGGGGAGGGGATAAACTTTACTATAGTTTATATAGGGAAATCACATTTTCAACCAACATTGGTTTAATTTCCATTGGAAGTAATTCAATTTGGGTTGGCATTATCAGTATCCCCTGGGGNGGGGGGGGGGGGGGGGGGGGGGGGGGGATAAGGTGGTTTTATTAGCTCACCTGCCCAAAGTGAGCTTATGCCATATCCCGGCATCAACTTTCCCCTTTAAAAGCCTTTATCTCCTGAACGACTGATTGGATTTTAACTAAATTTGATATGAAGCATCCTTGGGACCAGGGGCTCAATGGATTAATGAAATAAGGGTGTGGCTCCCTAGGGGGCTGAGTAAGGGGCCAAAAAGGGGAGAAATTTGGGAAAATTTCAAAAATCTTCCTTCTCTATTTACAAAAATGCCAGGATCAAATACTACCCATAGCTGTAAAAGCGTTTGAGTTGTTGATATAAATTGTGATTTTCATGTCTACCAGGCCCCCTGTTTTCCCCTGGTGAGGGGGTGAAATTTAGTATAGTTTATATAGAAAATATACATAATAGGCCATATCTGCCAATGTTTTGAACGGAGTTTGCTCATATTTGACAGAAATACCTGTTAGGGGAGGAAGGTCTGCTGGTATAATTTTTGTGACCCTGACCCCCTAGGGGGCTGTGTTTGTGTTGAAAAAGGAGGCGAATTTCAAAAATCTTCTTCTACAGTTCCAGAAATGCTAGTATCAAATACTACTCATAGTTGTAAAGCCCTTCGAGTGGTTTATATACTTTGTGATTTTCATGTGCCCCAGGTCCCTCGTTTGCCATCACATACTTTTTATCTCCAACCCAACTAATGTGCTAGTTAGTAATAGTAACAACCTTAATTCTTTATGAATTATGAAGTCTCCATAGTAACGCTTCCAAGTTCTTACCCTACATGTCTGAAGTGTTTACAAATTGGCATTACAGAGCAAATGTAAATATTGTGCCATGACTGCTTAAATAACCAGGTCAGCGATACAGGCCATCTGGGCCTCTTGTTTTTTAGCTCACCTGGCACGAAGTGGCGTGCCGTCCATTGTCCGTCCGGCGTCCGGCGTCAATATTTTACTTTAAACGACTTCTTCTAAATAACCGAAAGGCCTAGGGTGTCGATTTTTCGCCTGAAGCAAACTGGGATGAAGGGCTACGAAGTTTGTTAAAATCAATGACCTTCAAGGTCACAGGGATCAAATATGTTAAAAACTTTAAACATCTTCTATTCGATAACCAAACTGACCAGGGAGATGATATTTGTCCAGGAGCATGCTTGGGTGAAGGGCTACCAAGTTTGTTCAAATTAATGACCTTCAATTATATTCAAGGTCACAGGGGTGAATTGCCTTAAAAAAACTTTAAACAACTTCTTCTCAATAACCAAAATGCCCAGGGTGATGATATTTGGCCAGTAGCATGCTGGGGTAAAGGGCTACAAAGTTTGTAAAATGAATGACCTTCACCCTTATTCAAGGTCACAGGGGTCAAATATATTAAAAACTTTAAACAACTTCTTCTGAATTACCAAATTGCCCAGGGTGATAATATTTGGCCAGAAGCATGCTGAGATGAAGGGCTACAAAGTTTGTTCAAATGAATTACTTTCTCCCTTATTAAAGGTCACAGGGGTCAAATATGTTAAAAACTTTAAACAACTTCTTCTCAATAACCAAAATGCCCAGGGTGATGATATTTGGCCAGTAGCATGCTGGGGTAAAGGGCTATCAAGTTTGTTCAAATGAATGACCTTCACTTATATTCAAGGTCACAGGGGTCAAATATGTTAAAAACATTTAACAACTTCTTCTGAATAACCAAAATGCACAGGGTGATGATATTTGGCCAGTAGCATACTGGGGTAAAGGGCTATCAAGTTTGTTCAAGTGAATGACCTTCCCCTATATTCAAGATCACTGGGGTCAAATTTGTTTAGAATCTTTAAACGACCTCTTCTGAATAAACATGGGTCCCAGTATGTTGATATTTTGCAAGTTGCATCCTGAGATGAAAGGCTATAAGATTTGTTCAACAGAATGACTTTGTTCGACTTTCAAAGTAACTGGGTTGAAATGTTTTAAAATCTTTTAACAGGTTCTTTTGAATGACTTTAATCATAAATACTGATATTTTGCCTGTAGCTTTATTTTAGATCACTTTTAAGGTTGCAAGTTTGAGATTTATACCAGGTGAGCGATGCAGGCCCATTGGGCCTCTTGTTTTTGTCACTTTGAATAATATTTCTGTTCATGGTAAAAACAAAAATCGACTCTCTGTATAAATATATCAGGTGACCGTTAAGGCCTTTGTTTTAGTCATACTTTTCCTCTGTATAAAAGATTTAAATTAAATTTTAAATTTCATTTTATTTTCCAAAAATCATGAAACAAATGATACATTTATATTAATCACTCTTGTCCGCCTGGACGAAAGTGCACAAGGAATCTTAATAAGAGAGGAAACCAGAGAACTCTTAGAAAACACATGGTCAGACCGGAACTCATTTGTGATAGGGGAATAGAACTCATGCCATCGTAGTGAAATGACTTTGCACTTTCCACTGCACCACCCAACGACCTTAACATTTGGAATCCTGAAGTTATATATTTTGCATCACTGTCAGGGTATTTTAATCGCTATAAAGTTTGATATATCAACAATTTGATGATTTTAATGTACAGGTTTCATTGGTAATGAGGCAGACCCTATCCCCGACTCGAACCTAGGCAGTAAGATGTTGCAGAACATGGGTTGGACACCAGGATCAGGACTGGGATCTGATGGAGCTGGCATCAAAACTCCAGTCATGGCTTACCGACGCCCACGAAGGCAAGGACTTGGCTGTCGGACTGCTACAAAACCACCCGATCATACTTGACTACATTTATGACTTTTAAAGACTAGTGGATCAATCAAGTGCACTGTTGTACATTGAGTTATTCATTATTAATTTGCATTAGGGCAGTCTGACTTGCAACCCCAAAGATATCTTTAAATATGTTATCATATATATTGTACAGTGTACATGTATTATAATGTATAATGTGCTACCAAAACATTAACATACACTGTGTTATGTTAATGTTTGTTTTAAGTCTTTTTAGGTCACCTGAGCTTTGCTCAAGTGACTTATTCTAATCGCTTTCCGTCTCGTCTTCTCGAGAACCAGTGCATGGATTTTTTTCAAACTTGGTCAGAATCATCCTTGGTAGAGATGAGGCTACAAAATTGTACAATTGGGATTCCTACCCAAACCCCTGGAGCCAGGGAGGGGCCGGAAAGGGAAAATTAATCAATATTTCAAAAATCTTCTTCTCCAGTCTCAGAGGTACTACAGTCATTTTCTCTGCATGTAAAGAAAGATCATCAGGGGCTTCACTTAAATTGTAAATTTCAGGACCCCCGGGCTATCCATTCTCTCTTGGGGAGGGGGTAAAGTTTACTATAGTTTATATAGGGAAATGACACTTTTGGGTATATTTTATCCATTTTCGGCAGAAAAATACTCAAAATTAGTTAGTATCATCTTTGGTGAATGAGGGTATTACATTGTAAAATTGGAATTCCTGCCCCATCCCCAGGGGCTAGGGCAGAGCCCCAAAGCGAACATTTACCAATATTTTCAAATTCCTATCCTTTGATGACATGACAAGTATGTATTGTATTTCACTTAGTTTACATGCTTATTTCCACATCACATATAAACAAAAAAATAAAGCTACCAGTACCTATGATATAACTCAGGTGACCGCTAAGACCCTTGGGCCTATTGTTTGTAATGATCTCCATGTGACAGTGTAAAATATTTTCATCAAATTTGCAAATTGAATTTGTAAAGAAATAAGTGCAGATAAGGCATGTCTGAGTGTGGTCATTTTGAATACTAGGACGTGTAATTTGCTTTTAATAGTTCTGAAAACATCAATGATTCAAATTTTACTTCAAGAATCTAATAACCTTAGTTACAGCCGAGTCCCTTCCTGTAAAGTTTTTACATAAAACTATCATAGAGTACAAACTAAAACCTCAAAATAATATAACCATCAAGAAATCGGTACATAAAGGGGATTTAATAGACTTTGATACAAATAGTTCATTGCCAATTTTTCCAAAGTTTTAGAGCTTGTTTTAACAAGGCTATTTCCAGTACTTAAAACAAAATCAGATTATATGTATCAGGTGTTCCATAGTAGTTTTGGGAACAGTCAAATCAGTCTGGGAAGGACCTTGAGAACTATCACCAAAGGGAGTCGGGCGGAGGGCAACATTTTTCCAAGTCTTCTCCAGCAACCTGAGACAAATTTAAATGGATCCAAACACATTAATGAAACACAAAGTTTCTTAATACCTCTTCAAGTAACCAGCCAGAGAAAATCTTAATTAACACACACATGGAGGAAAAAAAACAATTTCTTTGTTGAAATCAGTCCTTATCATTTGTATAGAGGTATAAAGTAACAAATTGTGGCTGTCTGAACTAAATTTTAGATGAACTTAGATGAACATGTAGCATATCAGAGCGTTTCAGAACTATCAGCAGTTACAGGTAGGAATTACAATGTGGGTGTAGGGGCTGGGCTATTAGCAGTTACAGGTAGGAATTACAATGTGGGTGAAGGGGCTGGGCTATCTGCAGTTACAGGTAGGAATTACAATGTGGCTGTAGGGGCTGGGATATCAGCAGTTACAGGTAGGAATTAAAATGTGGCTGTAGGGGCTAGGCTATCGGCAGTTACAGGTAGGAATTACAATGTGGGTGTAGTGGCTGGGCTATCAGCAGTTACAGGTAGGAATTACAATGTGGCTGTAGGGTCTGGGCTATCTGCAGTTACAGGTAGGAATTACAATGTGGGTGTAGTGTCTGGGCTATCGGCAGTTACAGGTAGGAATTACAATGTGGGCGTAGGGGCTGGGCTATCAGCAGTTATAGGTAGGAATTACAATGTGGCTGTAGGGGCTAGGCTATCGGCAGTTACAGGTAGGAATTACAATGAGGGCGTAGGGGCTGGGCTATCAGCAGTTACAGGGAGGAATTACAATGTGGCTGTAGGGGCTGGGCTATCTGCAGTTACAGGTAGGAATTACAATGTGGCTGTAGGGGCTGGGCTATCGGCAGCTTCAGGTAGGAATTACATTGTGGCTGTAGGGGCTTGGCTATCAGCAGTTACAGGTAGGAATTACAATGTGGCTGTAGGGTCTGGGCTATCTGCAGTTACAGGTAGGAATTACAATGTGGGTGTAGGGGCGGGGCTATCAGCAGTTACAGGTAGGAATTACATTGTGGCTGTAGGGGCTGGGGTATCAGCAGTTACAGGTAGGGATTACAATGTGGGTGTAGGGGCTGGGCTATCAGCAGTTACAGGTAGGAATTACGATGTGGCTGTAGGGGTTGGGCTATCGGCAGTAACAGGTAGGAATTACAATGTAGGTGAAGGGGCTGGGTTATAAGAAGTTACAGGTAGGAATTAAAATGTGATGTGAGTGTCGGGCTGGGCTATCGGCAGTTACAAGTAGGGATTCTGGGAATCCCAATTCGGGTGTCGGGGCAGGACTATTGACAAGTTACAAATAGGAAATCCAATGGTTGATAAAGCAGGCCAGACTTTCCATGATTTTTCTGTCAGGTGAGACATTTCTTGTTGATTAACAAGCACTTGTTCATGAAAAAAAATGAAGTATACATCTGTTTTGATAACTCCTATGTAGCCATGTATCCTCATGTGGAATAGAGTAATTTAAGTTATCGTATGTCTGTTGTTAGACATTTAGTGACATCCTATGAAATCTTGTCTCTGTTTGAGACTTCTGTAGCATAGGTATTGTACATACTGATACTAAATGAAATCCTTTTACTTCCTCATACTGTTGTACTAATGTGTTAATGATGTGAATTTAAGAAAGCTTTTGTCATTTATTGGCAGTCTTATTAATTCTATACATTACATATATATAAATTATCAGAAAGTCTTGTACATTTTGTTGTACATGAGAATGTACATTTTATGGAATTTTTATCATGTTTATTACTCTATGTCAAGTAGTGTTTCATAGACATATTTGGGTGTGAGTGTAGCTCAAGTATTAAATATGTCAATATGTGGTGGTATGAATTACTACATAGAATATGTAGACCCATGTATATTCTCCCTCATTATTTTCATCCGAATATAAATCAATTAAATTCAAATGATAACACAAGACATAAATGGGATTATAGCTCGTTGCTCATTCATTTATTACAATCCAACCCAACTACAAACCACACCTGTATAATCCACTCTATATCCTACCCCCACTGGCCAACATACATCTACACAAAATTGCATTTGAATGTGTTTATCAAAAAACATCCTTAGACTATATATAAGATAATTAGCATGTATAGATACGGTGATGAACAACGAACTCGAAAGAGCACACCTAGCATGTGCTCCCTATATATACCCTACACCACGTGACATCCACCCGACACCTCCTCACCCAAATACTTACGGAAACAACCAAAGTAAATTTCATTTCTTTTAATACACATAAAATGTCTCTTCACATCTATTGAAATGCTTCATGTAATGACCAGGAGGCATTCCAATGTAAAACTTCAAATTTGCACACAGTGGTATTTATTTGTATTCATTGAAAATATAGGGAGGTACAAGAATTTCAAATCCATATTGTACAAATGTTTTATAACATTTGGTTGCCCCCAAACATTTCATTATCAATATAGCGTGCATGATATTATGAAGATGATAATGAGATTTACCACACTGTGTATCCAGTGGTCATGCTGATAGTCTTCTCATCATTCAGACATGAGCTGATGAGGAGAACCTTTTTCTCAAAACTGAAAAGAATAGATTTTGATTATTATATAGTTCTGTCTGAACACAGGACAGCCATTTTGACTATCGGCAGTGCACTATTGCTACCACACCAGAGGTATAAATGATAGAAAAAAGTCTGATTGACTGATGGTACAACCTACCTGTACTTTATCCCACTTCACACCTGTGTCATCATAACCTGTTACAGCTGTACATGTTCAGATAACCAAGGGAAGCTATAGTTTATTTGAATTGTGTAGTTATTGTATGAAGTTATTTTTGTGATATATTCAACATGACAGTGAATATTTCTAGTCAAGTAATACAGTCCAGACCAACTTTTAATTGCAAATTCATCAATATTTTCCCACACAATCATGGAAATAACTCAAAATATAATGTTTACTTGACATCACTGACCATATCTGGCCTAAATGATCTCTTATGTGTTGATTGGCCATTAAGAATGTTATAATAATACTTGACAATTATAGACATTGATCACAAAACTACATGATTCTGTTGTCTTACAAGTAACATTTATACTAAATGGAAGTACCTGGTAATTTAATAAATTTCACTAATTCTACTCATTTAAATGTATGTTTGGAATACTATTGAAATGAAAGTAGTATTACTCCCAACTCTGGCTCAGAAATCCTATGTGCTACTTGGCCAACTGAGATTGGAAACTTGCTACCATATTTCATCAATTTCCCTGTGGGAATATTTCAAATTATTGATTTTATAGATTGTTCTGAAAGGGTTGCACGTGAGTTTTCCAGGTATAAACATGTTCTGTTGTACAAAAATTCCAGTAAACACAAAAAATGTCCTACATTCTTGCCAAGTATTAACAGTAGACTGGGTGATTGGTTTAAAGCTATGCAGTCTTCCCAAATTAACTCATTCACTCCTGAAGACACTTTTGAACTCTTCCAATTCTAAGGTTGGAAAAGTTCATTATGAGATTTCAGGGGTGACTTAGTTAAGAAAGCATCACTGGAACTGGATTTATCTGGACAATGGTGAAAACTCTTTATAATTTATAAAGAAAAATGATACCCTAGTGGGTACAGTCACTTAATTATACAAATATTTAAAGTTGTTCTTGTGCTAAAAATGTCTATTCACTATGCTATGTATAGATATATAATGACAGGTAGTGTTTGTATTGTGTGCAATATGTCAGGTTAATTCAGTGAGTTGGTGTGCTTCATTGTCGACTGCTTGTGATGTTTTAACGATATAGATTTTGTGAATTTGGTAGTACAGTTGTACATGTATTTTACAAATCTTTCATGTTTTAAACAAGATTATGAACTCAAGAGTTTTCAACCTTCTCACGAGTTTGATTTTTCTCTTACCCTGGACAGGTGTATCCGCACTTTTACCGGTGTGAGATTTCCTTGTCTCACCCTAGGGTTGAGACGGGGGGATTCCCTTATTCATAACAATGGTATGAAGTCACTTCAACAATACAATGACGTCACGTCAACCCTGAATGTAGCATGTAACGTTATC